ACGAGTACTTACGACCCCTGCCACAACAACAGCAACTGCTACTGCTACTGCTACTGCTACTACTACTAGTACTACAACAACAACAACTACTACTACTACTACTGCTACTACTCCTGCTGCTACTACTGCTACTACTGCTACTACTGCTACTACTGCTGCTACTACTACTGCTACTACTACTGCTACTACTACTACTACTACTACTACTACTACTACTGCTGCTTACTGCTTTCTGGTTACTGCTTACTGCTTACTGCTCCTGCTGCCACTGCTACTGCTACTGCCTCTACTCCTCCTCCTGCTCCTGCTGCTGCTGCTGTTGCTGATGCTGCTACTGCTACCCATGATATTAGGACCAACAGTACGAGTAGTTTGGTTAGTGTTTCGGAAGCCCTAAACTCTCGCAGTGTGGCGTCCCGAGTTAGTAAGCCGTGCAGGAGCGTTTTTTCGGCCTCTTCACTGCGGTTCAAGCCTTGGTGACTGGGCCAAAGAGGAATATTCGGGACCTCAGGGCCTAAGCTTCTGATTCGTTCGGGGAGATTAACTTATCTTGCAGGAGGAAGTATGACGTATAGCTTTCTGGGCTTCTTGCGAGGATTTTGTTTGCTGGAAGCTGCTTGAGCTTGGGCAGTAGGGCTGGTCTATTCCGCCGATTTTGGGAGCTTTCGACCCGAAGAAATCCCAATATCGGGTGCCATACGTTCTTTGGCGATGGTATGCTGCTCGCATGGGTAGAGTTTCCTTCGTTCGTGGTTGCCTGAACAGGTTAGGGTCTGCAGGAGTCCCGTTATAGCAAAGAGTCGTGGTCATACTAGAGACTGCGACATAGTCGTAGCAGCACTACTACATACTGTAGCATTTAGGTACTGCTGCTGTTACAAAGGCCCGATCACGACGATGACAACGACGACTACTCCTGTTGCTGCTTGTACTGCTACTACCACTGCTGCTGCTGCTGCTACTACTACTACTACCACCACCACCACCGCCACCGCCGCCACGTTCAGCATTATGGCAAGCCGCATAGCCTTTCCGGTCATTGCTGTTACTGCTCCGTGTGTGGTCGCTGTTTGTCCTGGGTTGCACAGCCTTTCGATCTACGGAAGCCGGCTTAAGCTGGTGCCTCTTGCCTTGTGCAGCGCATACATCCGAAAGGATCTTCAACACAAACTGCTGATGTGCAGCTTTGCCTGGGTTTTCTTCTTCTGACAAAGCCCGACTCCGAGCGTGAGAGAAGCCGACAGCTCTCGTTCTAGTGATTGGGTGTCTTATGCTCCCACTTGAAACCTCTTATTGCGTCAAGTCTTGTGATCCTTCCCTTACATCTGAAGCTTCGATCAGGCTCAGCAGCGGCATGACATGATGTCTGGGCTTGTGGAAGTCTCATCAAAATCGGGGACCCTGATCCGTAGAATCCGTAAAGAAAAGGAGTTCCAACCTCTGACTTTACGACCCTTACATTCCTGTCGTTATGGCAACATTGCAAAATCCTTGGGCCAATGATTGGCATAAACTTACTCAGTTGCATTCGCGTGCAGGATTAGATAAGTTTTAGGGTTTCAAGGTCCGGTGGTTGAGGTTTAGGGTTTACGGCTTGAAGTTGAGATTTATGCATTAGAGCTGCGCAGTTCAGGATCTTTGCAGATTTCACAGAAGTGTTGCCTGCGCTTAGCGGCATGTCTCAAACAACTCCTGTGCTGGGAGGCGCATCGTGCTTCAGGGTTTCGGAGTCTCAGGGTTGTAGAGCTTAAGGCTTCAGGAGTCTCACTATTACTGTCTGTGTTGTGTGATTTAAGGCTTTTGGCATTTTTACGGGTTTTTTAGGTCTTCCTCCAAACAAGTATGGAGTCTTCTTTCCCGTTGTCCTCCAGCTTGTCGACTCTATTCCTGCCTGGCCACGGCTATACCTTTGAAGCCTGAATAGTTACTGATACTATTCCTCATGGTTCTTGATTGTGGTTGTACTATATAAGAAAAATCCTATCTAATCATTACGGCTTTTTTGTCATACTCTGCATTGCTATATCGTCCTGAGGCGGGAGGGCATGCCGTGTTATGTTAGGGTGATACCTTGGCTATGATGAGTGACCCCGAATTGGAGATCGAGCGGGCTCTGCAACCAAAGGGTGTCTTGATAAATTTTATGTCACCCAAAAGAAGTCGCTATTGCTATTGGACTTATGTCGGGTTTGTTTCGGGTGCGCCATCTTGTGCATTGCATGTCCGACCTTTCCTGTGAGGACCTTTGGTCTCTTGGAAGGTGTTTTGGCTGTTCGTGCTGCCCGTACTCGTTACGGCCGTGTTCCTCTTCAGCATCATCGGTCCGTGGTATGTGTCGAGCGGCCTCGGTGGCATCATTCTCCTTTACCTCGTCATCGAGGCCGTTTCGGCTCGCCATGTTAAAGCCCAAAAGCCTGACACCCTATAGTTACCGTAAAACCTATAATTCCCTTTGACCCTGCATTTATTTTCAGCTTTGGAATTTCCCTATGGTTACCTTAAGCACCTAAGCCCTATAAACTCGGAGGGCCCCGTCCCCAGCGCCCTGAATGGCACCCCTGCGACGCAAGCCGTCGAAACAATATCCCCCTCACGAACTCAGCCTAAGTAAGACTCTGATACCTCTGCACCTCTCAAACATAAGTAAAGTATAAAATATACGCCCCCCCAAACCCTAGTATAACATACCCACAAGCCCTATTCCGCATATCTGTACCCCAAAAAAGTAAGCCCCACAGCCGACAGCAGTTCGGATTCCAGAGGTGTGAGGGCTCATCCTCCTGTTTGAAAGGCTCCTTCTTTGTAGGGTTCTTAAAGGTGACCATCCTCATTCCTACAGGCGTAGGGTTTCCTAAACCCTAAACCCCAAACCCTAAACCCTAAACCCCAAACCCCAAACCCCAAACCCTAAACCCTAAACCCTAAACCCTCCGCAAGGTTCGGTTTTTAGTTGCCCCGTCATTTTCTCCCCATCCCTCAGGTTGTTTAGGTTTCCCTGTGTGATATTCATATACTGCACGGGCCTTAATGACTAGAACAGGGTTTTGGGGGTTCCTTCAAAGGGTTCCTTTAAAGGGCTCTATAAGGGCTACTATAAGGAGTTTGGGTTTAGGGGCCTTAATAATTTGAATAGGCTTTTGGGGGGCTCCTTATAATAGTTATGGTATGGTATAGTAGCGTATACCCCAAACCTTATTCTAATTGTCGAGGCCCATATATTACCTTCATTACTCCTGGAGGGTCCTAGGGCCATCCGATACTCATCTACCTTGAACACCTGACAGGGGACGATCATCCTAGAATCATCTTCCCCTAAACGCCTGAAAGGTGACGATCATCCTCTTCTTCAAGAACCACTTCCAGCTCTGGGCGCTCCAGCGGCCTGAGAACCTCCTCGCCCGCCTCCTCTTGCCACCGGTAGAGGTTGGGCCATTGGGTGTAGTGTTTAGGCCGGCAAGGGGTTGGGTTTCTTACCAACAGGGTGCCTTCGAGGTCGAGGGGGTTTCTGGTTCATTTTTCTGAAATTCCCACAAGATCGTCGACAGCATCTCAGCCGGCAACACGAACAATGCGATGATCACCTATCGCAACTGGGGCACCAACTTCTGCGCGTCCGGACAGGTCTGGCTGGGCAGCCATGCCGATGTGACGAAGGCCGTGCAGAATCCCCAGGGTCGAAGTTTCTGGCTGGGGGAGCACCCCTTGCTACCCAGCTCCTTGCCGCAAGGGGAGTCCGGCCGCTGTGTCTTCCTGCTGAGCCTCTCAAGCAAGGCTGCCGGGGGCACCGGGGATCACGAGGCCTTCCGGAAGTGCATGGTGGACACCTTGTTGGGCGAGGCCTCCGTGGCCAGGGAGTCCGATGCGATCTCCCAGCAACTTATGGAGCAGTGCGCCGAGGACCTCCCGTAAGCTTCAAGCGCTAAGCCGCCAAACTCCGAACCCAACCGCCCGAACCCGAAACCCTAAACCCTAAGAACAAAAACCCGCAACGCCGAGGACTTCATGAAGCAGGATGCCGGCTTCGATTTCTACTACGGAGCTGATGGTGGCAACCAGAGCTTCTGGACGAAGTATCTGCACCATGTGCTCTTTGGGTTGGACATTCAAGACAAGGACAGTAAACCCTTCAACCTGTTACAGTGTCGGAGTTCGGGTTCATTGGGTTGAGGGTTTTGGGTCCGGTTGTTCGAGGAAGTGATGAGCATTCTGAATGCCTTCTACACGGGACAGCTTGGCCTGATGCACTATCTGGACCCTTAGTAGCTGAGTGAGTACACTTTACACTTTTTGGGAATATATGATCCCTTATAGAACGGAAAGTGTGCACTTTGTGAGGCTTATGAACTCAGCGACTAAGGACCCCATGGGACATTTCTTCTCGCAGCACGAAAAGATTGCGAAGGTTGCCGACCTCTACGAGACGTCACCGGCGTTCAGCAATTTCGAGGTGGGATGAAGACATGCTTAGGGGCCTAAATAATTGCCAATACCATTTAGGAGGTTCCTTAGCATAATTGTAGTAGAAATGGGCCTAGTCTAACTAGTACAGCCCCTATATTTGGTGTTCTTCAGGATTCAGGGGGAGGCTTGCTTCAATCGCCTCGAGGTTCCGCAAACATGACTCTTTGTGAAGGGTTGGGCAAAGCCGAAGCCACAAAAGTCCCGAGCTTCAGCAGATGCTGTTCTGCCACTACAGGGGCATGATGAACTACCTATTTAGTTTTCCTTCAGGGCTCCTTATTTTAGTTATACAGTAGCATAGCCCAGCAGCCTATCAGGGCCCCTAGACTAGAAAGAGGTCAAGACGGAGTACAACAACATGACTGCCAAAGAGCTGGCCCTGCTGATGTCAAGCATCATCCGAATCGCTGGCGTTCAGGGCTCTCGCATGTTGACCTGGTTTTGCACCTCAGGGGTCAAGTACGGCAATCTTCAGATCGATGCCCGGACCGTTTGGGACTCCCTGGACCTGGAGGACGAGGACGAAGTCTTGAGGTACATCCTTGAAGTCGCCCGCCTCTCCCCTCCCGTCACGGTCTCCCACCACGTCGCCACGGAGCCCTTCTCCTGTGAGATTGCCAAAAGGACCTACAGCTTCCCCAAAGGTACCAAGGTCGCCATCCCCTTGGTCTTTGCCAACATCGATCCCAACGTCTGGGGTGAGGACGTCTGGGAGTTTAACCACAACCGGCCAGGACTAAAGGAGAACCACACCGGCTTCAACTCTGTAAATGGCCTGGGGCCCCGAGAGTGTCCGGGCAAAGGCTTGGTTCTGAGGAGCATGGTTCGCTTGCTGCAGGTCATCGGGAAGAAGAGGAGGCAGCCAAGCACCAGTCCACAAAGCGTTTGAGGTTTCGGGCTCCAGGATGTGGCACAAGCTCCGCAGATCTGGACCGCCTTGATGCCACCACCGCTTTGAAACATTTTGAATCCTTCACACAAGCTGCACTTTCATGTAATGAAAGCCGTTAGCCCAACCAGTTTGGGCGCTTTTTGCTCGGGGCTTTGCTGCGTTGCAGCCAGTCGTCCACAGACGTGCTTGCCCCGCCGGCATGGGCCCTCGGACCGAGTTTGAATATCCTAGAACCTGGGACCTTGATCTGAAGTTCATAGATGTCCCGTCATCATAGCCATGCCAGCCAACTTCACAAGCACCTAGTGTCATCACCATCATCAACACCATCAGCAGCACCTTCATTATCACCGTCATCGTCACCACCATCATCGCCACCATCCGCCGGTCATCGCTACCGTGTAAGCTTCACCACTTGTCACGATCTCATGAACTCATGGCATATCGTTCTGAAATCATCGCCTTTAAGCGTCCATCACTCCTCACGTAATTTCATTGATTCGTTATTCATTCATTTTCGTTTGCTTGTTGATTTATTTATTCATTCTTTCATCCAGCCAGCCAGCCGTCCATCCAGCCATGAATCCATGCATCCAGCATCCATCCATCCATCCATCCATCCATCCATCCATCCATCCATCCATCCATGCATGCGTGCCTTCATGCCGTCGTCGTCATCATCATCATCATCATCATTAGAAATATCATCACCATCATCATCTTCATCACCCTCATCATCGTTATGTCATCCTCACCATCATCATCGTCATCTTCGTCATCAGCGTCATCATCGTCACCATCATCGTCACCATCATCATCATCATCATCATCACCACCATCACCTCATCATAATCGTCGTCATCGTCATGGTTGTTGTCATCGTCGCCACCGCCAGCACCACCAGCACCACCAGCACCACCAGCACCACCAGCACCACCAGCACCACCAGCACCACCGTCATCATCATCATCATCGTCATCGTCATCATTGTCATCATCACCACCGCCACCATCATCACCACCATCATCATCATCGTCATCATCGTCATCATCACCACCGCCACCATCATCATCATCATCATCATCATCACCGTCATCATCCTCGTCATCATCATCATCATCATCATCATCAGCGCCATCATCGCTCACCATCATCACCGTCATATTACAGTGTTTCCACTTGCTCAGGCTTCTATATTAGGGCTTCCGGATGATGCAGAGAGTGATGATGGCGACCACGACAGTGACACTGATGCCCAAGCTCTCATGCGGCCTTCTCGGTACGATGGAGCCTATAGGTTGAAGACCTATGTATGTGAGACTGGCGGTACTGTTGCAATACCTGGTGTTTCAAGCGGCACAAGCAACTGTGGGCCGAAGGGATGAACAAATGAAAAGGTGATATTGGAGATGGTGCGTTGCTGATGATGAGTATGACGATGCTCATAAGGTTAACGAGGGGAACGATGGTGAAGATGTGGCGCGGATACACAGGATCTCCGTTGAGAGCTCTAGAATAAGGGCCTGTAGCTGTACATAATAAAAAAGGGGTTTGTTTGCGGGGTGCGGGGGGAGGTATAGCAGCATAACTGTTTATGGACTGGGAAGGACCGGCATGAAAGCCCGGCAAGCTATGTGCATCATTTAGCACATACGATCACGTTTCATTGTACACATATACATGTACCTTTGTCCCATAACCCCAAAGTCTCTGAGTCAGTGTGCTTTCGATTTGCGGGTCCGAAGACCCATCCTGGCCTTGCCTCACTCAGCCCAAGAAAACGGAGTCGTTGCATTTTCCTTGGGACTTTGGGGTTTTTGTTTTTGGTGTTTGGGGGTCTAGAATTCAGGGCAACGGGGACAGGGTTCGGGATGTGGGATGTAGGGTTGGGTGCGTGGTCCAGGGTTCGGGTTCAGGGTTCGGGGTTCGGGGTTTAGGTCTTACAAGGTTTGGGAGTGGGGGCTGCGGGTGCCCCAGAACCAATCCAACCCGATCCGAAATCCCAAACCCTAAACCCTAAACCCTAAACCCTACACTCTAAACCCAAGCAGGATGCAAGAAATCCCAAACCCAAGCCTCAGCCTTGCCATCACGCTTCCGCTTCCTCGGCCCGCTGCAGCCTCATATAGTGGGCCTTGATAATTTCAATAGGGTTTTGGGGCCCATCAAAGTATACTTATAATAAGGAACCCCCAAAATGATATAGGAAAAAAGTTCAAGCCCTCACAATATTATAGGTAACATATGTACGCCCCTACATTAGGCCACCGAAAAAGGGGCAATCCTCAGTCTAGGGCCTTGATCCTTGAGACCGCAAGCAGCAAGCCTTGAGCCCCCTGAACCCTCAAACCCAAACCCTAAAGCAGTTTAGGGTTTAGGGTTTAGGGGTTTAGGTTTTAGGGTTTAGGGTTTAGGGTTTAGGGTTTAGGGGTGTAGGGTTTAGGGGTTCAGGAGTTTAGGAGTTTAGGGTTTAGGGTTTAGGCC